AAACGTTATCCTGATGTACTCTCGTAACATACATGTTAGAACACATTATTTATTTATTTATCAACAGAATAGCACTGCATACTAACCTCTGCTATTTGGTTATGTCAGGGTAGTACTGACAGCCCACAGCTTATACAGGCACTCATGGTAACATGAAGGTACTTTTGTTAGTAAAAGTATTTCCTGTATCACTATGCAGAGACAGTAATTGCTTGGACAATAACCCTTATATACATAGCAGCTTTCTCTACAGGTTACTTGTCGGTTCTTCCTTTTTATCAGATGCATTTAATGCTTGATTTTTCATTAGAGATGTCTGAAAAAATGCTGTGTAAAGTGAATTTGGACTTTATTCACAATTGCTTTGCTGAAATGGACAAATTCACAGTCAACAGAAGATGTTTTTTAGAACTCACAAAAATAGGAGACAAATAATGCAAATGACTCATCTTAGTCCTTCCGCATGGAGCGTGACACTTGCACTTGGCAATGCCTTATTTCATAGAGCCATCCCTGACAGATTCACTGGTTCGCTAAGGGTCTATATGTGTTGCTTTCCCCTTCATCATGTTGAAGGCAGAGGGAAGCCTGTCTGGGGTGCATCAGGCCATGAAGCAGATGCTACAGAGTGGGGCAGGCTGCCTCCAACCTGACTGAGAAGGCTTTTCGTAGTGCTTTTTGCCACCAATTAGTTATTGCTGCTACAGTACGATTCCAACGTATGCTTAAACTGGGTAATTCCTCAGCTGGCTCCCTGCATCACCCATCACCAGGCCATTTAGGTGCAATCTGTTGGGCTCTCATGCACTCCAGCATGCAGTGCATGGACTACTTAAATACATGTCAAATTCTTAAAATTTCATGAAAGCCAGCACTGCTTTCAGTGGCTAAAAGGGTGCTCTCCATATGTCTAAGGTTATTTTGAAAAGCACATTAATGCACTTGACCCAGACACCAAGGCCAATATATTTTAAAAAGGTACTAATTTACATAGCAAAAAACATGCCAGCAATAATCTCATTGCATGTCACTAGCCAGTTCCTGGTCAGTTAAAATGACTATGTAAAGTCAAAGATTTCAAAGGTATGACCAGGTGAGCTGCAAGTGGGAGTGAGAAATACGGTCAATGGTGTGTGCACTCCTGGAAGAGGAGATACTGCAATATTTTCTTTGCTTCTCTTGGCCGAAGCTATTATGAATGGAATGGGGCACAGAAGAGAATCAGGAAGAGTATTTGAAAAAAATGCCTCACTGTCAGAATATGAAATATTTGATGTTCAGTTTCTCAGAAAGGAAATCAAGACAGGATTTAAGGAGTGATTTTGAAGAGACTTCACATCATAAAGAAAATTTCTGGTAGTCTAAAGCACTTTGTTTTAGTGTTTGACCCCTCTACAAAAGACAAAAAGCCAAACACCTAACCCAAAACAAGAAACAATTGTTGAAAGCTGAAGCCAGGCAAATCAAAACAGGACATAAGGCTATTGGCTTTATCATGGAAGGCAGTCAGTCACAGAGACACTCTACCAAATGAACTGAGGGATCCTCAATTGCCTGAACTTTTGAATCACCCTGCACATTTCTTGCAGGGTAACTTTGGCCAGCCCAAGTTACTTGGCTTACAAAGGAGTAACTGGGTAATATTAGCCAGATAACTGAATGGCCTCTTCTGGAGAGATTCATTTTACCTAATTTTAGATGTAGAGTGAGAAATCTAAGTACTAGCCAGCTACCCTGGACTCATTTTATAGTAAGTATAGAGAAGAAGGTGATTCAGCTTACCTACTTTGGGTGCCCAGCTGAACATGGGATGAATCATCTTCAACTAGTGCCTATTTCTCTATGATGACTATGGAAGGCACTTAAAAAGAGTCTTTAGCTTAGACACAGACATCCAGCTTTTAGATACTGAAACTAGGGCAGATGAATTTCACCTGAGTTTATTGAGCACCTAGCTGAAATCGACTCTGCAGAGAAAAATTTAAGTCAACACTCGCTATATATTTAAATTTTGATCATGGTTAGTAACGGGAGTAATCTGCCACGGTGTCCCTCAGGCATCAGCAGAAGGTAATGCTGATAAAAATCACTCAGAATGAATAGTGCTGCCCTGACAGCTCCGAGGAAAGTAAAGTACAACAAGTAACCACAATATGAGTGAATTGTATTACCATTCTTGTGCAGTAGCTTTACATGATGCGCTACTGGCTTTTCAGTGGGGACAAAAAGACAGTTTCCTGCTCTGAAGACTTTACAACTCAGTTTGGACCCTGATGCAACCAAAGGGAGAAAGGCAGTAAAGGAATAAAGAAAGGGAGGAGCACTATGTGACAAGGCCGTGCTGGGAAAGCATATGCTCCTCTTGCTGCCTCTACCTCCTCCCCTGATGCTGCTAGGACTGAGTGAGAACTAGGTTTAGGGATGACAGGTGACCAAATGATGTTTTCTTGCATTGTTCTTTTGACTCAGAGTCACCACTGCACAGAGCAGGAGCATTTAACTCCACCCCCCTGTGCTAAATGCAATGAAAGACAAAGCCATGAGAAACTACCTTGTTTCTGGGTGTTGTAAAGATGCAAAACATTGATCAAGCACTAGATTTGTCAAACTGTTCTGCAGCATTTATATACATTTTAATATGATGCGTATCGGTGCGTGAAAAGGCAGCTGAAAGTCAAACAGGTGATGATGGGGTTGATGCTGTAACTTTCCATAAAATTATTTAGAAATCATAATTTTCTGGGAGTGGAAACAAGTGAGCACAGTGCCCTCTGGGCCTTTACTGATATGAAATGCTTGCACAAGGCATTAGGATGTTAAACCATCTCACAGAAAACATATTTTCTGTATTTAGCTTCTATGATTTTTAATAGAGGGATAAGGTTCTACAAAGTACTGCATTTTTCACTGGTTTGAAAGAAAAATATATGCAGCACCTCTCTCCCTTGTATGCCATTCTTTGCATGCCCACATAGTCCTTTACAAACCTAGTGATACCATCTATGTTCTCCCACTGGTGCAACTTCATTGTCTCATATGGCATTACTCCCTATATGAAAAGTAGAATCAAGTCCAAATGCATCTGCGCCCTGTTAAAGGAAACTATGCTGTTTCATTGCAACTTAAAATGTATTTTCTTATTTAAGCTTTTCTGTTTTATAATTCAGAAATCATTAAAATGCAGATTTTCTCCATGCTCACCTAATTAGAACAAAGATAGTTTTCTCTAGGATACAATGAATTATAAACATGTATAACTCGTGATGCATCATGCAGAACAGACTGATGGAACTGATTGCTTGACATCTCTATTTCTATACCATCATTCTGTTTGTGTGTCAACTCACTCAAAGAACCTCCTTTGAACATAAAGATGAGTATGCTTGAATGCTTGTTCTATCCTAGAAAGTTTGGGAAGAAAGTACATCCTGAAAGTCACATCTCAGGGAACTGAGCAGTCCCAATGCCACTTCAGACAAAGAAGCCTAAATTTATTTAGGTATAGAAGCAGCCCCCAAAGCTCCAATGTGTCTTCACATATTTGCAGTTGAGTTTGTTGATAAGGTTGTTCAGAAAGCCAGGAATAATAATAAAGTTTAGCAGGGGTTTCCGAGTCTAAAGCCTTTGGGAATATATTTGGTTTAAATACATGTGTAGGGCTGTTATCTTTAGACCCTATGGGCCTGTCATTGGGTAGCCTACTTCACTCCAGAATCTCATAATTACTTCACCAAGTGAGAGCAGAAAACACCCTGAATGACTGAAGGTGATCAATAGCTTTTTTAAAGTAAAATTTGGCAAAGTAAAAATTCATCAAGTGATTATTGTTTAACTCAAATGATTCCTACTCTGTAAAGGTTGGTGTCATGTAACACTCACAGGTACCTGTTCTGCAGTACTTAGGTGAACCACAGAGCCTTTTCTGTCTTTGGTTTGACATAACTTTGCATCACTCCAGGGTAATCCCATTAAAATAAATTGTGTTTGACTGATAAATAGCTAAATTAAATCAAACCAAGAGGTGTATGGACACTTTGACGGCTGTCAACAACATTCCCAGTACTGGTAATATTTTCAAGAATGTACATGTATGCCTGCCAAGACATGCCCTTGCTGCTGTTCTTCCCTTTCCCTGGCAATGTTATGGACCTTAGGTTCTGCTAGCTCCATACAATCTGTTATCTGAAATACCAGGGCAATTGCTTTTATGGATCAGAGGTACTCATGCAAATATATATTATTCCCACTTGCTATTTAGAGTGGACATGATTAAACATGACATGGGAAGTAAACATCATTGGGTTTATTTCTTTTAAAGAGTGCAAATGTTCTGTGTGTATTTATAAGAATCTGTCAGTTCTATGTCATTTTTTTTTTACAAAGTTTCTACATAAGAGGCTTGGCGCTGTTGAGAATTCCTTCTATTTATGCCTTTTATGGTAATTTTTAGGGATTCTGTCCAATTATTTTTGCTGGAGTCATGGTCAGGAGTAAATTTTAAATCAGCTCAGATGATAGCTACAGAATAGAATTAAGTTAAAAGAATTTACATTATTCCTTAAATGGTAGTTGTAACTTTATTGCAATATTCCTTGTTTTAGCTGCCAACTATGTAGTTCTAGAGACATATTTCAATGAAAATATTATATAAAAATGATATTTTCTATGGGTAATATGCTATCCAAGGCTGTTTATCCTATGCCAGACTGCTCTAGCAAAAAAGCACCTCTTCAGAAAATTGTTTAATAAAAGATCAACACAAATCTCTAATTTTAAACAGAAGAGAATAACTGGTGACTACAATAGCACTACTGGCAAATGCTGTTTTAATCAAAACTAGTACAGCAGCCTTTTCTGTATGGAGTGCAAAGGTAGCCCTACTTTCTGCACGTAAACATAAAACCAGGCACTTTTGAAAGGAAGAACAGGATTGGGATCAAACTGTGTAGAAAGTAATCTTTGAAATGTATACAATGAGCTGAGAAGTACTACGTTTTTTCCCTCTGTATAAATAACGTTAATGATTTCCTGGATTAGCACACTAAACTCCCAGTGCGGTTAATTATAGCCTTACATTTCTTTATTTTATTTTCCATAATTAGGAAAGAATTTCCTAATCCTTAAGGAAAGAAATGTTTCCTTAAGTATAAATAAAGTGTGAGAAATTTTCTTGCTTCCCATCTTAACCTTTTCAATATGTACCAAAGCAGTCTGCATTGAACAGGATACCATACATCTATCTTGTAGACTTGTCGGAGGGTAAAGGGACCATTACAGTAAATGAGTTTTTGAATAGTTACAGCTAGTAAACAGCAAGAGAACATCAGAATTAATATGAATACCATTAAAAAAACCCAGAAAGCATCCACGGGGCAGGTGTTTCTGCTACTAACTGGTTGGCTGCACAAACCAATTTCCCAAATACCAACATGTAGAAAAGCAAAGCACTAAACTGTACATTTTATAAAATATCACATCAAGCTGCATAATGAATGATATATCCCACAGTTTTTCATGTTTTGGGGGAACCTAGCTGATTTATATCATGGTGGTCTCTGTCTGCATAAATGACTGAGCCCTTGAATTCTGGTGGAGATGAGAAATGCTTTCTGATCCATTTCGAGAAATCGAAGAGCTGTGGAGTCCATAATCTCTGCCTGCTGTCTGCTTCCAGCACAAACTCCGCCATTTTCTTTTCAGCTCCCCTTGCACCTGTGTTAAAAACAAAATGCAGATGATGAGCTGAAAATGTTCTTTTATGTGAGGAACTTTTCTGCATTTATTTGCTGTCAGATGGGGACCTCTAGGAATAGAGTCATAGAATGGTTTGGGTTGGTAGGGACTTTTAAAGACCATTTAGTCCAACTTCCCTGCCACAGGCAGAGACACCTTCCACTAGACCAGGTTGCTCAAAGCCCCATCCAACCTGGCCTTGAACACTGCCAGGGATGGGGCATCCACAACCTCTCTGGGCAACCTCTTTCAGTGCCTCACCACCTTCACAGAAAAAATTTCTTCCTTACATGCAATCTAAATCTACCGTCTTTCAGTTTAAAGCCATTTCCCCTTGTCCCATCACTACATGCCCTTGTAAAGAGTCCCTCTCTAGCTTTCTTGTAGGTCCCTTTTAGGTACGGGAAGGCTGCTATAAGGTGTCCCTGGAGCCTTCTCTTCTACAGGCTGAACAATCCCAACTCTCTCAGCCTGTCTTCATAAGAGAGGTGTTCCAGCTCTCTGATAATTTTTGTGGCCCTCCTGTGGACTCACTCTAACAGGTCCATGTCACTCTTGTACTGTGGACAATCACCTCTCTCGACCTAGTGGCCATGCATCTTTTGATGCAGGATACAATTGGCTTTCTCAGCTGCAAGCACACGTTGCCGGCTCATGTCCGGTTTTTCATCCCCTAGTATCCCCAAGTCCTTCTCTGCAGGGCTGCTCTCAATCCATTCATCCCCCAGTCTGTATTGGTATTGGGGATTGCCCCAGCACAGGTGCAGGACCTTGCACTTCGCCTTGTTGAACCTCATGAGGTTTGCATGGGCCCACTCCTCAAAGCCTGTCAAGGGTCCCTCTGCATGGCATCCCTTCCCTCTAGAGTATCAAATCAGTTTTTACAAAGATTACAAAACTGAGGCAAAGACTGGGTCTGCACTGTCTGTAAGGAGATGCCCCAAGGCCTCTTTCAAAATCAGTTTTGTATCACTTGTGCTGCAACATTAGCTTTTGGTATCTAGCTATTAATCACACATACTTAAAGCATAGAATCAAATGATAGCCCAAAATCAGGCATCTCATGAATATCAAAGACCAGAATAGCACTCAGGAGACCTGAATGTCAATTCCCTGTGCAAGCAGGTGTCTTCTTCAGACAGATTCCTCCTGTCAGACTCTGCATGCTGTTTAATGTATATTCTACCTCGAAAAAATGGCTGACATCAAAAGGAATTCCTTGCATCTTCTTCAGTTGAGATTAGGAAAGCTGCTACATGCTGAGCATTCCTGAAAATCTGCTGCTGTTCTAGGGGTTAGATTCTGTCAGAAGATTACCCCTAAATACTTACTAAATGGTGTTTCAAGTTTTGGATACATTTCGAGACCTGTTGCACCTCACTTGCACAATCCACATTGCTTCTAACAGAGCTAGAATTAGATCACATTAAGTAACAGAAGACACACTTACTAACATCTTGGTTTGCAAGGTATTAGATTTCAAACAGGTCTTAACTCTTCACCCAAATACACTGATTTCTCCTGTTGCATAGAAACTGCCACATATATATTTTATAAATAGGAATGCAAACATCTTCTAAAATAGCTTCATGTTTCAGAGTGGAATTATAAGGGCACTTATACATTTGCTGAAAACAATATTTAACATCCTCAGTAGGAAAGGTGAGACTTACTTCACTGTTCAAAAAACAATACAGGACTGCAACAATCAACCCCTGGAAAGAGACAATATTCCTTAGTTAGTAGGCAGCACCAACCTAGGCCAATAAAACTTCTTTTGAATAAAAACTTTAAAATTTACCTGAAAAGATCCCAAACACAACTCAAAGATTATTTTATAAGTATGGGAACTGCGGTCAGGAAAGAGAGCAAACACTGTATAGTGAACTCCAAATAGTGGAATAAGCAACAATGTGGATTTTGCAAGTCTCCTGGGTAAATAAAAGAGAAAAAGCTGGAGTTTAATGATAAGCTCTTGTTTTACTAAGATAAGAACCTGATGCAATGTCATTTACATAAACATCATATGACTTCAGATTTATAAACAGTCTTATCAAGAGACATCTATTGCAAATTGTTTTCCTTTCAGTCTTGCTATGATATTAGGCACATAGTAACCTCATAAATTAAGGTGTGCAATTCCATGTAATACTTGATCTTGCTGATGTTGCATTCTTCCAAAAGCTGGTAAAAGGCTGCATGGCCTCTCTAAACCAAAAGACCCTTTTCCAGTTGCCCTCTGGACAGCAGCAGGGTGTGGGACCTGCCCACTGCTGTGTCTCTTTGACACACATCCAGTTCCCATCCTGGTTTCATGGCACAGTTTGAGGGTGGGGTCTTACTGTCTTACTCCACCGGACCCCATTCGACAAAGTGTCATGAGCTGCCATCAGATCTCTCAAGGTATTTTTTCCCTGGCATAAAGGCTTCAGAGTGGAAAGGAATAATGCCTTCCTGAAAAGTCACACTGACAGATCCTCTTGTATGGAAGGTAAAATCCCTCTTTTGAAATGAATTGATGTTAATTTCCTTTAAATTTGCAACTGTATGGTTACCCTGTACATTGCACATGCATAGTATGCAAACAGTACCTAGGAAATGTAATCCAGCATAATTTCAACTGTGAGATTTTCATAAGCAATTTCAGATTCACCCTCAAATACTAAAATCTCATAACTATACTGATGGTATTAAGCATATACCATTAACTAATTTTTAATGTTGTCAATTACATTTTAGCACAAGACACTACTGAAGTGAAGGAAGGAGAAATTTTAATTATTAAGGAAGAGCAGCTCTGACAAACTGCCTGTGAAACCACTGAAATGATGAATTGCTAATTATCCCTTATCTGTCACTTATTTCACTCTAATAACATCAGTTTTATATATTATACAGGGCTAGTCATGCATGATTATGGATGTCTGGTATCAGATAAAATTCAAGAAGTGATAATGTTGAGTCCCATAATTCATCACTGTCTTGATGAATGTAACTTGATTCAACAATGAAAGGATGCTGTTGTGAATTCACCTATTTTAACAGAAAAGTCAAGGTATTTCAAGCAGTTTTATTTTTTCTGTGTCAGTCTTCATGGCCTTCCTTTGTTCATAATGTCCCAGAAGCTGCATCTGTTTATGTGGAAATAATCAGTTCTGACAGCAAAGTCTCTCAAGAATAGTAAACCACTCATATCTAAAGGTGATACCAGTAAACTGGACAAATAGTATTTCCTTAGCAGAAGAAATTAATTTACAACTGCAGGAGATAACGATGGCAGCAAATTTCCTGGTTTCCCAAGTGAAACAGAAAACTGATTTTATTTGAATTTAACCTTACCCACTGCCGAAGTAAAATCAGCAGCAAAAAGGATGGAACCAGGTACAAGCAAGTGGGACAGAGGGAGGGAAGAAAAATGGTGACTTGCATGAGTATTATTCATTTTAGACTCCTATTTCACTTTCACTCCATGCTTGTTTTAATAATTTTTGTCTAGCAGATGTTACTTTCTCTATACTGCACTTACATTTTAGTGAAGGAAAAGGACAGACAAAATAGCTTTATTCTTCTCTGTATTTTAGAAAATACATTTGCATTTTGAAAAACAAGCCTTCCAGACCTTTAATTTGCTCTGTAGATGTGGTATTTCTTGAGGAGGTTAATCTACTGTTCCCATGGGTATTGGCTAAAGACCATCCAGTCCAAACTTAATCAGGTAATCAAATGCTAAAAGCAAAGAATTCACAGAGCTGAATAATGAAGGAAAAGGTTGCTATTAATGAACATTTTATACTATGAAGCGCTACAGTAAGCTGTGAAAAATGATGGGATTGATAGGAAGGGAATGCCTCATTCTCATAAAATACATAAAATACCACACGGAAACTAAGAAAAGTTCCTGTCACAAGAAGTAAACTTGAGGGGATTTCCTGCCCATAGGCCAGTCATTGTGCTAAATAATAATGTGGCAACTGCATAATTTCACCCAGGTTGGTTTGGTTCTCCTACCTGTTTAGTTAATTCAAGCAGCAAACACAAAAAAAGACCCTTGCAGCTCTATGAAGCAAAACCTTATGTCAATCTAGTTGTGTCACCTTTTCCGTGGCACATCAGAATTTTCCACTTTTTGCATCAAATGTGTCACCTTGTTTACAAAAGACAGAAGGTCCTAGTTCTCTTGGCTTTAAAGATATGCTTTACTTTAGCACACCATGTTTTATCTGCTTTTAGGACAGGAATTCAGTAATTTTTAAATGAACAAAAGGAGTTATCCAGGAGCACATGTTCAAAGACCACTTGCATTGTTCTGAATTTTCAGTGTTCGTGCTAGTTTTTGTCACTGAAATATCATATTAACATCCTGAAGTGTCAAACTCAGTGTCTATATCTGGGCTTTAAAATAACACCTACTACAACAGACCCTTGATTCTGGATTACAGTATTCAGCAGCTATTACAAGAAACAATAACTGATACGGCAATATAATAAAGAACAAATCCAATTTTAGCAATGTATTTAAGTTGCCCCCAACATTCCTTGATTCTAAAGCTGTGGAAACAATGGATGTTAGGATTCGATGTTCAAACCAAAACACAGAAGAAGAAGGCCTAAACAGAAATGAAGTTTGTCTAAATCAGAAACACTTGTTTTCCTCTAGAAAAATGAAGATGCTATTTTAAATCAACATAAAACTTTATATATCATTTTTTACTTTTTGGGAACAACATAACTTCTTTCAGTTCTTAAAATATATGTAAATATTACAACAAAAAGTATTTTAGAAATGAAAAATTAGAAGAAAATGTTTTTAAGGAGGTTGACACAAAGTGTTTTGATCTTGAAACCTTTGTTATGTTGAAATGAAATATTTATACATTAAAAGAAAGATATTACTCCCCATATTTTTTGTATCAGCATATTAATTCATGGATTAAACTCAAATTCAAGAATAGCTTGTTGTTCTTTATGAAATGCATTATTTTTTATTGAGTTTTCTGTCTGACAAAAAAAATTATGTTCAACTCTATTTCAGCATAGTGATAAGATCTTTGTTAAACCATATCTAAAAGTACTTCTGAATTAAATGTAACTATGGTATCACAGCAATTGTTGGTAGCAGGTTTCAGCAGAGGAAATCTTACAGACATTATTTTGGTTCTGCATATTAAATATCTAAATATATGACTCACTTGTACTGTGACTGGTCATTTCCTCCAACATCTGGAGATCTTAACTTCTGCAGTAAAATTCTTATAATACTAATGAAAAGTATAAAATTCACCTGCAAAGAAAACAAATATAATGGTGATTTCTGACTTCTCCACTCAGTATGGAGCACAAAGAAATGCTTATCAAGTCAGACAAATCAACTCAGCAGTGGGTGCTGTGTACCTCCTGCCAGAACACATCCAGCCCTACACTGTAAAACCTATTGTCTGTTTTCTACCTCGCTAGGTTTGTTACGTCCAGCGCACCTCTGCATGGCGACCAGTTCTAGTCTGGCTGGCAAAAGTCTCTGAAGCTGCCAGTTGTCAGAAATGCCCTCCTTCCAAAATCTCAGCTGAAGACAGGCTTCCTAGCAGGATAGGACATTGGATGTGATTTGGTGTAATCAAGCATTGTCCTAAATCATCATGTGGATTCATGACTGGAAGCCCAAAGGAAAATGTGAGTCCCATACACAGTTTTGACCCTCTCTTGCCTCTCGCCTTGACTTTTAATATTTTCTGTCTGAATTAGGGGAAGAGAAGATTTTTGCACAGGTGATCTGTCCACTCTAATCAAGCATAGAAAGGGCCTCTCACAAGTATCTGTCTCGGGTAGTGATGCAGACATTATCACTGAAGGAACTGAATCCTTGCACTTTAATTCTTGTGACAGCCCTCTGAGATAGAACAGTAGTATTATTTCATATAAAGGCACTTGCATAAAAAAAAGTTATGATCAGACCCCGATCAACCTAGCAATTGAAGTATAAAACTCAGTAGATCCTAAGTCTCACTCCCATTATTTCTTCATCCTTGGTTTTTGACATCTTGTGTTCACCAGCCCTTCTGGCGTCAGACTGTTTGGCGCGGTCTAGAAAACTGCACACTAAATATAGCATGCCCGTACTAAAGTGAGGGAACACTTGGAATCCACACCTTCACGGCAACAATGTGAGCTAAAATCTACAGCTACAGCTACATAAACAGCTGCATGAAATGCACACATTTTAGATGAAATCAACCTGGAGAAAAATTTCTATCACTGTGAAAATGAGCGTTTTATTGTTTTTAACTAATGCCATCCGAAAGGCCAAAATCAGGAGGTCGGGTACACAACCAGAGTGCCTTCCTCACGGCTATAAATCTTCAGTCTCTGCCTTGCTGTGTTGCTGTAACTCTTCTTTTTCCATTCTTAACAATTTGGCTGTATGCTTTTCCAAGTTCAATGAATTTCTGTGTCTTCTCTGACATACCCAGTACAATTTGTGATGTTAATAAATAAACCATGATCATAGCAACTACATGCCTCTCTGTATTTAATATTTTGTTTGAAATGACAGGTGAAGGAAAGTGACAGAAACTGACAGGGATTAAGTAAAAAATTAGGCAAATTATATCTAATATTTTTGAAAAAAGAAGAATAAAAAAGAAATGTTAAAAAAAATATAGGCCTTTACTGAATTTAACATACATTTTTCAGGCAGATGATGACTTAGAAGTTTTTCTTCATGCAAGTCTCCTATAAAGTAACAGGCAGAAGCCTGTTATTACTGACTGTAACTACAGACTTACCACAGCAGAGTGTACAAACCAAGGGATACACATTTAGTTTGCCATAGGCACTGAAGCCGGTATTAGTGGACAAGGAGACAGCTTCCATTTCATTGTGTATTTGTCAGCCACAAAATAGGAGAAGGAAAAATCTTTAGTTTGTATTTGCAAAGGGATTGGCAGAATAATTTCTTGTTCTTCACAGGCACCCCTAGTTTCTACTGTAACAGAATAAACTGTCATTCATTTGGTTTCTGAAGCATCAAACCACCTGCAAAACTACACTCAGGTGACTGACATTCGTGACTGACATTCATGTATTACTTTTATGTCTGTTTTCAAACACACACCTTTCTATCTTTAAGCACAATCTTGGGTTAATGAAAACCATACATTCTTGTCTGGAGTTTGTAACACTCCTTGGCACTACTGAACTTGTAAATCCAGCCAGCTGAAACTGGGTATTAAGATCTAAAGGTGGCAACTGCCACTGACTTACTACAGTGGAGCAAATGAATTTCTCTAAGATTATTATTGAATTGATCATTTGTTAAAATCCTTTAAAGTATATATCTGATTTAGAATAGCATGTTTCAATAAAATATGAAACAAGTACTGCCCTGGAATTTTACTTTTAGTATTGTAGCTTTTCAGTCCCATAAAATTGTTTGGGCATAATGTCTTTAAATAAACCAGAGTATGTATACTGTTCAATGAACATCCAAGAACAGGAACATGAGAAACTAATGTGAATGCAGAGAAACTGCAAGAAAGTGATGACAAATGATGCCTCTTTAGTGGAGTAACAGCAAGATGCTGCTGGTACTCGTTTCTACTGGTTGACTTCTTCTGACAATAAGTTTTTGAGTCTAAACATGTTGCCTGAGCATGTATCATTTAAACTGTCTTCATGTTGTTTCTTTCTTGCTGTTCAGTTCCTTACACTACCTGCAATGTGAGATAACAAGATGAACATTTCTGTTACTTTGATGTGACAGAAGTACTGTCTCCACCTGAACACCACTCCTTCCCAACTGAGAGCAGTTTATGCAAGTGGAAGTATGGAGAAGGCAGCTGTGGAGACATCTGCTAAATAGGGAATATGGGTAACACCACATTAACTCTTTGGAATAGTCACCCCCAATTAAATAACTCTGAAATTTGTACAGCATGAAGTGTGGAAGCCTGCCAAATAACTTTTCTCAAGCCAAAATTGTCAGAAGGAGATGCCAGGGAATGTTTCTGACACACTGAATTAACTGAAGCCATTCCCATTTTGAGAAGTGACTTCAGAACTTACTCTCACAATACTGTTTACTGTTGGATAATAACCTTATAGAAAGTATAATCTTCTAAGCAGTGAAAAAGTTTGGAGTTAACACAGAACTCAATGGAAGAGAGTGAATACGGCATGAAGACTGAGCAGACTTCCTGCTAAATCTAATGCAGTTAAACCATTGCTCCTCAAAACCTTTGCTTGATTTCCTCTGTCTTTCAAAAGCATATTCATGGCAACATTCTCACAATCAGACTCTTCTACTCTTCTTTTCTTCACACCTCCTCCTCCTCTTAAAGATTTTCAATATCAGCCATACTCTGGGCTTCCTTCGTGCCACTACATAAGACAGTCAGTGAGAGTTCTCAGCTTATGTGTTCTGCTCTCCTTTATTTTCCTGAAATTCAGCTTCTTTCAGAGTTTTCCTGTGTTCACCTCATTTGGTACTTACACAGATGTCCTTCCTACTACTGAAGCCATTTGTTATTGCTGGTCATCCTTGTCACCAATCTCTGTGAGTCTTCCAGTCTTCCTACATTCTCAAGCAGACTGAAGGCACTGTGTGAGTATGATGTAAGTACACCATACTTTATTGAGAAATATCATAACTCTCTCACAAGACCTATCCAAAGAACTTGCAATGCTCTATTTTCTTTGTTGAATGGCAGGCAGCATTGACCTCATTACTCAAAGATTTGAATCTTCAAATTCTATTTTTTCTAGAAGTTAACAGGAAATGTTGAGGCTTATCATGGTGCATGTATATTGAAAATTATGTTCTCATGGATGTAGTGGTTTTCACTCATCAATTACCAATTTTACATGACATTTCATCAGCTCCTCTTGCTCTGTGTATGCACGCTCTACTTTGCACAGTAGTAAGTTTGCATAGCATCGTAGCTGCCACAATGAATGTGCTGGTAGCTCGATGCTCCAACAAGATACGTTACTTATCCAGCAGGAGAGGGTGGGTATCACTGCTTTTATAACTCGTTTCACAGCTTAACTTCCCAAATGCAAAATGTAGTTGATCAAACAGCTGAAGAATCATCTAATTGGAGAAGTAAGTGGCTTCACACAATACACACTGCAGAATCACTTGGCCACCTTTAGTTGCTTACATCCCTAAAATGTGTTGTTTAAGAGAAGAAACATATCTGGAAGGAGGCAGCAGATCCTAAACATATGCACCTGGCAAGCCAAAAAAGGTCATTTGCAAAATGGTTCCCTGTGTCTTACAATCACTTTGTATCAAATTAGTAACAGAACCATTAAAAAAAAAAAGGAGAACGACTGCTCCTTTGCTTCAAACAGTGATTCTGTGTTTTATGATATACTTGCTGACTGACCAGTACTCCATTTTCTTAACTCACAACCATTTCCCAGTCTTTGCTAAGATCCAGGTGCAATCAAAGTATGCCAATGAGCACTTGGATAACTTCCATTTCCAGGTCTAGGACTTCTTTGGAGAAGCTCTGCTTTCTGGCACATGAAGTCTCAGCTGTCTACAAGGTGGGTGTTTAAATTGAACATCCAGACAACAGAATTTCATCTTTCTGTAAACACCAGGTGGTTTGTTTTGCTTTTATCTTTCAGCATATTTTTTCACTCTGGACCATCCCCCATTCTCCAGCTCCTTTGAGGTACACATATTCTCTTTATGCTGTAGTTCTGTTGCGTGTCCACTTCTTCGTATCATAAAACATCTTTTCTGTGAGTCCTTACCTTATGTCATTTCACACTCTGCTTTCTCTTTAAACGCTGTATAATTCACTCTGATGAAGATGATAAGAAGTTCTCTCAGAATGATTTTCAGCAGGCACAGATTGAAAGGCAAGCCCAAGCATCATGTGGACTCTTGAAATCTTGTGCAATCTAATAATGCCCTAATTTTTCTGACTAAAATGTTAAAAATAAAGCAAGTGTATCTGAAATGTATTAATTTGCATTGTGACTGTTTTCAGAAATGGACACATAACCATAGTATATTATGCCCAAAGTTAATTACACAATCATCACAGTGAACCAGAATTTTATTATGCTACTTCAGTAATTCTAATGAGTTCCACACAGGAAAAGCCCCATGAAACATTCTCAAATGGTATTCTTTTGCAAATAATTCATGTTCAATATATATTTCAGTAGGCTACCAATTAAAGAAAGATATACACAGCCATAGATTTTTATAGCTGCAATAATATCAGAGTCTCAATTGCAGGGCTATCTATTTACACGCAGAAATCAAATCTGCAATTCATTGAAAAGTGTAATTAGATTCTTGCTTCCCCCAGGCTCATAAACAGGAAAGATGTTAAAGAAAGAAAGAACAACATACAAACAAAACCAACTGCTCATTTAATAGGAGGCAGATAAATTTTGAAGGCAACAAATTTTAATGGCCTTGGCATCTGTTTAACATTTCTCCTACAGTGCAATTTCTTTTCATTAAAACAGAATTCTTGCCTATCTGTAACTAGCAGTAAAGAATAATGGCTATGTGCACTGCACAATGCTGAACTGATCTATAATTCATGCTTCAAAGTTTACTTACTATAATAGAAATTAAAATTGGTATTCGTATAACCCACCAGGGACCACCATGCTCATTTGTATCCCAGCAACTATAAAAAAAAAAAGAGGGAAAATGATGTTGACATTAATATCATCTGGCAAGCAAGACCTATGAGGAGAAGTATTTCTTATATACAAGTCAAAGCACACTAAAATAATACCTCAAATTCTAGCCTCGAATTTGGCATTCAATCTTTTTCTGCTTTTAATTTTACTTCCCTAGTTCTAATATGCATATTCAAATCAGCTAAAACATCAGGCACACTAGACTGTAATTAGACATCATGGAAGACATTGGCCTTTAGGGAAACCAAGCTTAGTTTCACTTTGTGTAAGGACACTTTTCCAATAAGCGCTTAGTTTCTCCAATAAGCACCAGCCTCTGGGTAGCAGGAAGATCTAAAGCAACTGACAGATACGACTGAAATGACATAATTCCTTGTGGGATATTTAGGTTACACACGGGCTAGAATTGGTTTAGGAAAATGGGAAACTGAACCTGAAACTTGTCTGAAAAACTGAAAATTTGGGTTTACTGTGGGCTCAGCACTTTTGGTCCAAATACTCTGAGAATAAGTGCTCTGAAAGATTAATCTTAAGCAAGGGCAATACCCTTCAGAGTTCCTCTAACTGTGATCATAATGACAAAGGAAAAAGTAGTTAGCCTTCGGTTTACATGTTAGTGGTCTTGCAAAGAAAACTTAGAAATTATGTAGGACATGATTTTTCAGTTTAATTACAGAATTGATTGAAAAATATTAGTCAGGTTGAAAAAAAAGACTCTGAAAACTGTTTGTCCCACTAGCTAGGAATGCTCTACCACTCCCTGGGGCCAGCAGGAGCAGCAAGTCTGATCTTCCTACAAAATTCTTATCTCAGTTCCCCTTTCCATGCCAGGAGCCAGGCGTAGCTCTAGTTAGCAATAGTTTTACCTGACTACATGCATCTTACATATGTTTACATCAGATTGCTTCACTTCTGGGAATGTAACTTAGATATACCCAAAGTTATCTAGATTTCAATCTTTTGAGTTGCTAGTTAGCAAATTAGAATGCCCAGCATCTTACTTGCACTGTATTGCAGCACTGAACCCAAGGACCCCCCACTGCCATTTTAAGTGTTATTTTGACTTCCAAAGCAGGCAGTGCTAAATGTGGGTCTCAAGGGGTAATGTTAGTCATAACCTATTTCCTGTCCTCTCCTGCCCTTAGAGTTTTTCAAATAAACAGTAAGCATAAACAGCATGATGAAGAGCTCCTAAACACCTGTCCCTTTATTGCCATATCTGAAATTTCAGTCCTGTGCTCATCCCCTTCAGAACAGCAAACTGCCTTTGTGTGAACACCACCATATCCAAGGCAAGGATTGTACTGGCACAGTTGAAGGCTTTAAGCTTTCTCTCCCCGACACACTTACCCAGTGTCCTCTAAGATGATCCTTGTCACTGTCCACGTAATAATGAATATGGTAGGAATTCCTGAAAAATCCCAAAGAGGTTTAGAGGATGATCACAAAAATGTAAGTCCACACACACACACACACAAAAAGTTGTTCAGCCTGCTAGTTACCAATTATTCCCCAAATATACAGCATAGAGTAAACAAACAGTTTAGTGAATGGAGGGAGAGGCCCATCTGATGAGCTATATGATGTAAGCAATGTAGGGACCGCAGGGAAGTGGATTTATTTCTTAAAAAATGCAGCCATAATAACTAACACAAAGAACATGCCTTTATTAGTTTTTTCCAAGCTGTCAGAGTGACCTAAAGGGAGGGAGACAGATATATGTAATGCATTCCCAATGCACTTCCAAGGACTACAATATAAAACCAAAGTGTAAATCATTTCATAAGGAACCATTCCCACACACTGGTTTGTTCCCATTTCCCAGCAATACCTAAATGTTTTATGACCACCTATTACTGGAAGCTTTAAAGTGCTCCATATAAATATCATTGTACTTTCTGGAAATGAAAGGAATTAATGTATTTAAAACCAGACAGACAATATTATTGGGCTTTTCAAAAAGGCAAATAACATAGCATAGCCTGTGGCTGTGCAGCTAAACTTTCTTTTTCCTCCCAAATTAGGACAGCATGAATCATATGTTTTGCAGTGGCAGTCCTTGAACCATCCTATATCCTGAACAACCCCCGGGCGTTGTGCAGATTGGCACAGGTCAGAGCCATGCCAAGGAGCAAGCTAGCAGTTATACTTTAGCAGTTTTGTGCCTGCTCTCTCCCATGGTACAGCGGCTGTAACCTATGCTGGACCTGAATTGAGGAACTAGTGAGTCTGAGGAGTCATCCAACAGAAACAGCGTGACTGCCTTGGTATGAAATACTGAACCTGACTAATACATACATACAGAAAAAAGAATATTATTGGAAGATGTTGAAGTTCTTACCCCATCCAATCAGCAGGTAGATTGTGAAGTGTCTGTTGGGGGAGAATATTAGCACAAGGAGGATGTGGAGGTAAAGTCCTTCAACTAAGAGCCAGTAAAAGTTTGCCATAACACCATAGTGAAAAAACACCAAAATAGCCTTGCAGCCCACCTGAAATATAAGAACAGGGATCAAAGTTGTTGCAGGAAAAATGCTGTATTATTCTGTTATTAATATATCCTGTATGTCTTAACTCTGCATGTAATACTAGTAATCCAGGTCCAGTAGAATTTTTTTTTTCAGTCAAGCAAATTGAGACATTGTAAATGTTACTGTATACATAAAAAGAAAATTAATTACAAATAATTATTTAGATGGCTCTCATAGCAAATTCACTCAGAAATTTTGAAAACTTCATAGCATAAATATTGTAAAAGGTGGTGGTTATCAATCAATGCACACATTTGCAATAGTTAGTTAATGAATGGCTATTAGATTAAATGACCATCTACTAGGTGGCTAATAAATATACTAAAATCCCAGCTGGCTTCCTAACATTGTAAAAATTAACAAAGTAACTGCTTTATGAATTTTTCAAGGCTAAACAGGAGTGAAAAATAAAACTTTACATGATAAATACTCTAAGCAGAGTTAGAAGAAAAAGTTGACTGGACTTTTAAAAATTATTTTTTCCCTTTAGAAAATGCTTTAGTGTTTCTTAATTAACAAAATACATAAGCATGTGTCATAAAATGAAGTCCCAATATACTTATAGTCTGTGTGCTGCTCTTCAGAATTAATTTTCAGATGTCTGTGCTGCTGCTGTTTCACAGTGCTGGCTGCTGTTACTTTGGTACTTCCCAGCAGCAATCTGGGATATGAGAATTGAACATAAAAATGTTTCTGCTGAGACTGAGCTGAGAAATGTGATGATATGGTGAATGTAACAGACTAAACAAAATGGACTAAATATGGCCTGCTTTACTCCATTCCCCATTTTAAATACTCTTCATACCTCCACTGTTTCTGTTAAATTTCCAAGTACACCAAATACCTAAGTAGGTAACTTACTCATTTAGAGACTGGTTCCTCTGTCTAAACATAGTTGTCTATGATGAAGTGAGATGCCCTCAGGGACCACAGTCACCAGCTGCTAAGCCAGAAAGGCACAGACCTCCTAGAGATACTTCTTTGTATCCATCAGTCCCTTGTGGTGTCTCAGATATCTCAGCGCATCCCAAGTAATATACATGCCTATATTTATGCCTGTGTACATGCCTATATAGACAACTAAGTAAGAGCCCAAAGGCTTGAATTCATTTCAACTAACTTTAGCTGCCTACAAGTAAGGTTTCTGGTGAAAGCTAGCCATGTACTAGCCAACTAGCTCCTTATACAGCTCATGAAGAGAGGCAGGCATGTCCAGAGAAAGTCTTAAAGCAGATTAGGTAAACTGTTCAGTAAGAAAGACAGAAGCCCAGAGAAACAGCTTAATTCAGTCATCTCGTTGGTAAGACTAATTTTACCTCTGGACTTTGTATCCACTGAAGGAATATCAATTGCAGACCAGTAATGGGCCAGAAAATTTAACATGGAGAAAATTAAACATTTCAAAATGCAAGCTGAAATTTGCTTTTATGCTTATGACTACTTACAACCAGATTAGCAGTCAAAGTCTAAAATTTTTGTAATCTCTTTTAAATTCCAATACTCTCCTGCATTATATTCTCAATTTATGTATCAGAACCTCGCATCAAAATATCTGCCCTTCCTCCTGCAGCTAATCCTATATCAGGTGTATTACCAGCTGCTGAAGAGCAAAGGTATCTGTCAGTAAAGAGTTAGCCAAAATTATGCTTGTGTGTCATTAAGATCCAGGACCTACTTACACTGCATTTCGAATTGTGTGCTTTTAGACTTCTGTGAGTGCAGCAGAACTGTGGAACATCACACATGTGTGACAAAAGGGGCAAACCCCACATGCTGTTACGTAAGAAAGGTAGCATCCAGCCAATGCAAGACAAAACAGCCTTGCCATGCTGGTGTCAGGTCATCCCACATATAATGCAACAGAAATTACTCAACAGTCCACAAAACCGGACATGTTCAAATATGAAAGTATGAGGCTTTGCAGCTAAGAACAAGTGCAGAATAAAAGAAATTGCAGAAATCAAGTAGTATTTTGAGAGTCCATTGACTAATCTTTCAAGGACTTAAGAACTTTTGATTACCCCTGTCAGTCTGCCTACTAACTACTTTGCCTACTTTGGGTCTACTAACTCAGAGCCTATTTATCCTCATTAGAAATATCTCAGATTACAAATTCATACATACAGCTTGGTAGTCACTGCTAAGAACTTTATGCTTTGGGACAATAGGGCTTCATCAATATAAAAGTATCTTCCTTCCATTTTTTTTTCTCACAAGCTTAAACTGTAGTAAATTAAATTCAGAAGGTATTCAGCAATATTTGTAGGGTTCTTCTGCAGCACTTTTGACTGAAACAACAGAAGCAGACAACAGGGAATACCATACAGCGGTCAGCCTTTTAACAGCAAGACTTGAGATTTTTTTAACTCCTGTGCATGAAAATTCAGGAAGCATATCAGCTTGCCAAGAATGCAGATGACACTTCTGTCATAGCCAGAAAGTACAGAGGAGTTAATAAAGACAACTCCTGCAAATATTTAATTCCCTGCCTCATTTCCCTCCCTCCATTGATACCTGTCCAATTCCTGGACCCCTGATAAAGCTGCTGGAACATTTCTAGATGATCTGCCTTTAATCGTTCCCACCTGATGGCACTCCTGTTTGTCTTAAACTCTCCCAGCTGATTAATGCTGTGGCCATATTTATTCTGAGCTATAGCTGGTCATGATCTGTTTTGGCAGATGACATGTTGTGCCTTCATGGACATGCAAAACAACATTAACTTCTCTTACTTGTGCTGCAACCTTTTTTCTCTGGCTACTTCTAATAGACCATTTTGCTAGTCATGATATTCTCTACCTGTCTACACCGACAGTCTGGTATTCCTAAATATTTAAAAGGAAGAGGGAGGAATATTCAGTGACACAATAGTATTATACCAGCTAGCAAATGAGGTTTATTACCCATGAGGTTTGATCCTCCGGACAGTGAGCTGTGTTGGAGCTGGAATAGAGAGTATCATCCTTGACTAAAACAGAGATTGCTCTTAGAATGAACGAGAGGAACAGGTTCAGATGGATGTAGTTCCGAGTACAATGAAGTTTTCTAAGAAGAGATTTAAAACCAGGCATTTTAGATTTTGAGACAGAAAGCTTTTGAACAGACTTCTATTACTCTCTGGGCATTTCTTAGTAATATGAACCTTCAGTAAGAGCCTACCCTTTCCTCCATCATATTGTCAGTGCTGCCTTGCTCTTTTCATTTATCATCATCATCATCATACTCATCATCATCATCATTATATGCTGTCCAAAATATACAAATAAAGTATCCCTTACTCCTTTTCAGTATCACAGACCAAAAGATCCCAGTGATATTTATCCCAACTTTAACATAAGCTGACAATAAACATAGATTATTACATCCTTCTGTGTGTGCAGTCATCCCAGTGTTTTTCTTGCAAATAAAACTTTGATTATCCTGGATATATGTCAGACATGGTCTCACCTATTATTTTCTGCTTTAATTTTTTATTTAACTCCTGCATTTTGCTATGTAGTGGCTTTTCATCCTATGTGAGTGTATGCAGGAACCATTAAAAAATGCATTCAAAACTTTAGATCGCCTATCCTTTCTATCCAGTGAAACACAAAACTTCTCTTCTTTAGTCCAGCAGCCATGTGAAAGCCTGACAAACAAATGACAAACTGAATATTCCAAGTAAGTGAATGAGTGCTCAGGGGAAGCAAGTTATAAGTTGAGGGTTTTTCACTTAATAGACATTCCCTTCAAGATCTTGCCATTTAGCAAAAAGTTTTTCTAGCAAATCCCCAGAAACCAACTGCTAAAGGTTTTTTTGGTCAAAACCAGCACCTTGAACTGCACCTGGAAATAAGCCAGAAGCCAGGGCATTTTAGCAAATACAAGCAATGAAAGAATGAAGATGCAATAGGACGTTACGGTAGTGTGCAGTGGTAGCTTCCAAGTAGTCTTCACATTTTGATTTTTACCGAAGAACACTAAATAATCCATTCTGAAAGATTAAAGCAAGGATAGTTACAGTGAGTGTAGGGAAATAAATAACAGATCCACCTTGCTAGCCCCCAGTTTAGCAAAGGATGTAGTATCAGGCTGAACTTAAAGCAGTTGTCAAAAATGCAGTGATTTCTGTGGCTATGAATGTCCTTTGCTGAAACAGGTTCTGAGAAAAACTTAAATACCACTCTTACGTTGGACTGCATCGCATATTCCTATGGAATTCAGAGATACATGCAAGCTGCAAATGGGAGGAAAAGATTTTTCTTGAGTAACTAATTTAGATGATTAGTTCTTCATCCCATTTAGTAGCTGAAATAATAAATGTTGGATATATACAAGACTGTCAAACCAACATTCTGGAGGTAGTGGGCAGGAAAGTATTTTTATTTGAGATATGTATGATGGTTCAGAATAACAAAGAAATGCTGTTCTTTAACAATGAAACAAAAGCTATCATGCTTATTCCTTTGATATGACTCATGATACAAAACTACCATATGAGGAACATTTACAGACAGAGCACACCTTAGAGAAATGATGGAGATTCACATTTTTCTCCTTTGTAAGAAACAGATGTCAGAGAAACAGACATTTTTTTGGAAGGTTTTGTTATACAGGAGTAAGCCCAAAGAAGTATAGTTAAGATCTATAGTAAGATCTAGAATATCAAGTGCTACGCAGAAATATGTTGTTCAATTTATTTTCACTCTGAGTTGGAACAAACCAACCTTTTTAAAATATCCAAAAAATATTTTTTATTTTTAATCATTTTTATTTCTACTTTTTCAAAACTTCATGATTTATTAAAACTCAGACATTCAAAATGAAGAAATAGAAACTTGCATTCTAAGAAGGGTAAAGCAACGTCTTTTGACTAAATCAAAATTATTAGCTTTGCTGTTTATAAATTAAGTTTGCAGAAGCAAGAATGTGCCTGACAAACTGGCACCCTCCAACAGGAAAATATTGTGCCCGAAAGTTACCAATTAGCTTTAATTATAGTAAGTACACAGTGTATTATGTGGAGAGTGGCACCATAGTAACTTGAAAAATGCTGTCAGCTTAGTCTGGCAAGGTATTTACAGATATTCATGTTTTATGTCTTTGTTTTGAGATTAAAAGATTAGCCAAATATAAAATCCTTTCCTTTTACAATGCTTCTAAATGTGTCCTTTACAGATATTAATAATGGGGACCCATATAATGTTTCTGTAAAGATTAAAATCAAGTCCAGTTCTTTGGAAGAAATGCAAAACAGAATATTGCAGCTGCATGGAAACTTTCAGAAACAACTCTCCTTTCCCCACCCAACAGTTCTGCCTTTCATGTGCTTATAGCTGATATTGTGAACAACTGCAAAGCCCTGAGGCTGTATCTGTTCTGCCAGACAGTATATAACAACATATAATGGACTGCAGAAGTCAAGTCGTAATACTTAAAAAACAATTTCCACTTCCTTGTCTTGAACACATTACCTACAATTCAATTAAACTCCACGTTATTCCATGCTTTCTTTCATTAAAAGTACTGCACATATTCAGGATTAAATGCAGTATAATTTGAAGCTTACAGATACAAATCCAGCAATGCACAATTTTAATAATCTCTCATGTTACTAGTATCCAGAGTTCAATTCCTAATCCTGCTGGATGAAGTCAGGATTTTGACAACCCTACTGCGTTAGTAACTTCTGATTTTTAACTCACTACTTAACTACTAAATCTCCTTTAGTTTCACTTAGAAGAGTTGTTTTTTGCTCTCCTTTTAAACACAGCAAGGTGAATGTTTGCTGGTTACATTCAAAGGTGAATGTGTTTCAGGGGTGAGTGACTGATCTTTATAAACAGTATATTGACATTCTCTATAAAGAATCCCGGGACCTTTCAGGGCAAACTATGTTTCTTCGACAGCAGGTGTTACCAGCTGAGTAGCGAAAAGTTAAAACTTACAGAAACATTCTTATTTTCCAAACTCTGTCCTTAAAAATGACCATAATGTATGGGATGCCCCACAACATGTCTGAGAGATGAACAGACATACACACACAGCCATTTGCATTCACTTCTATTATTGGTAATTTGCAATTGCTTCAACTGCAGCCTTCTGTAATAACTGGCTGCTTGCTATGTGTTTGGGAAACTATATATTGAAAAGGGTATTTTTACAACTTATTTGGGTTCCTAATTCAACTCACTAGGTTAGGAGGCCCCTACGGTCCCTGTAGATAACAGAAAAACAGGCTTCTTTGGGGGGAGACTTAGAAGACCTTATGTTCCCCCTGAAAAAGAGCCTGGGTCCTCCCACTGACTCAACAGAGAGATTGGGGAATTCTCAACTTGGATATTTAAACTGAAGTTGAAGGTTTTGTGTACATCTCTGAAATTCTTTATCTGTTTGTTGTAACTGACTTCTGGTGATGGACAACATTCAGATGTCTATAACACACTGTCTTAAATGTGTTATTAGGTTTTAGCAGTTTTGAAAATGCACAATCTGCCTGTAGCATTTGCTGGTAGAAAGAAGATAACCATGAGTGACTTGATTAATTTTCTTCAAAGATATTCCAAAATATAATTATGGGAGATGTATCTGCTCTGAATAGTCTCTGAATATTTAAATATTCAGAAAATTTGATGGCAGACTAAAAGGCTTAAGAACTCGCCATAGGAATAGTTCATCAGAGGAATGAGGCTCTGACAAACAACATGCTGTCCTCTACAAATTACATGTACTTCTTTTCTACCAAATCTGAGAGATGCATTTTCTTGTTTTTCTTGGTGCAGAGTGGAATGGAAAAGTTGTGTGAAGTTTATGATGGAGAATATAAAGGCTATTCTATTCGACGGGAAGAAGTGAACTATAAAGGCATGAAGGTGGAGAGACTGAGAAAAGCTATGATACTGATAATACCACTTTGCAATTTCTTTTACCAGTTGGAGATTGCTTTCAGTCTCAGATAACTCCCAGAAATTAGGCAAAAACAACAGACTGTACTGCCTTTCCTAACACTGCCCAACAAAAACACTGCACACCCAGCACTACCCTTCAGCATAATTATCCATACCTTGACAACCCCACTTGGAGAAATTAATGATTACCTTCAATTATAGTACCCCTGGAGACCACTCAGAAGCTTCTGCAAAATATGGCTGCCCACTTGTCCAGTGTTGAGACCAGCATCCTACTAATTTTCAAGAGCAATTCAAGGTGATTTAAACAATCAAATAGAAAATGCTTTATATAATCCATTCCTAAATGACTATTCTTTCTTATATGGGCTGTAATGTCTGTAAATTCATAAAGTGCTTTGAAATTTTTTAATATGACTGGTGCTAGCAAAAATGAAGTTAGCATTACATTATTATCAGCTGTTTAATTGAGAAAAGTGTAAAACCAATGCATTTTCTAAGTATCTGAGCAATCAGACAACAGTTAAAACCATCTTATCATTACTCATACTTACTTATGAAAAATACATACCTGAAAAGGCAAAGAATTATACTTCCTGTAGTAAGAGCAATGAGAGATACGCTGTGTCCAAGGGTATAAATTGCCTTCACTATTACATAGAAGTTGACCTGCACAGAACAATATATATGCAGAAACCACTTACTGATATATAAAATTGACTATGAAATGATAAATTTTTCCATTAAATAGCTCTGAAGGCTAAATAAATAGCATTATTTTCACTCTTTGCTCTACAGTATGTGATAAGAATGTTATATCTTTATTACAACATATTTCTGCAATGCAACATCTCAAGCCAATTGACCTCAGTAGAAAATTCAGCCTCAGGAACTCAAAACTTAAACACACAAGCTGGTACAATTTCAGCTGATTATCCCATGTCAATGAGGTCAAAGAAAGTATCAGATTCATGAACTTCCATAAACACAATCAAACTGTGAAGAATGGGCCACAGTTTGAAAGAATGGATTATGTCTGAAAGATAGAATCTCTCTCAGTCCTTCTGCTCTAGTGTACTTTGTAATGCATTTATATAGGAGTTTAATTTTAAAGACATGTTTAACTCTCATTAATTTCCTAATGTACATGTTCAAATACTTTATTAAATTGTGACCCAAACAACCCTTTCTTTCTTTAGTAAAGTTATTTGCTATAACTTGGAGAGGAAATTTTTCAACACAGGAAAAGCAGACTGGAGTGCACAGTCCATTGATTGACTGCAGTTATCTGTGAATTTACCAGCTACATATTACATTAAATCCTATTCTGAACGACAACATCAAGAAAAATAATGCTAAATATTCTCAGAATTAAGCTGCTGCTTCATTTATGCCTACAACAAAGTCATTAGACTGACATCATTTTCCACTCAAGCTAGATAAAATATTAAAACTGTAAAGTTTTTTACTATGTTATGAAATTAAAGTTTTTAATAGCACTGTAGAATGTGCTATGTGTAACATAGAATTTCAATATTTAGTGCACATGATTATATCGCTCACCTTCTCGAATGATGTTTGTAAAAAGTAGCAAGGAAGCAATACTTTTAAATAAACTAAGATAGCAAAAGGAAAAGCAAATCACTTAATATATTTATTTTTATAGCATTTAAAAGGCCAGGTAAAGAAGTAACTTTAGCAATCCTGATTCATGATTACATTAGCTGGACATTCACTTAACATGTATTATACAGATATGGAAAAGACTAAATGAAATGTGAAATGAAATGAAGAATCTTGCAACTGTACCATCGTAGATATGGTTAAAGGGGAAAAATAAGGGAAACATAACTGCCATAGATCTTAAGTGTATTCATAGCAACTGTCATGCTTTTTAGGAGCTAAAAGTGGTATACGAGGTGTCACAGGAAACAGAAATCTCTTTTTTTTAATTAGAGAAGTAAGCTGTGACAGCCTTTTTAACAACAGTCCTATCATTGTAATGTTTTGTTTGCTTTACATAATATTGATTTACTGCACAGATAAAGAAGGAAAATATGGACTTAATGAAGTTTCCAGTGCCATTAGAATGACCATAAGAAAGCTCAGTTAAAATCCTGAAAAAATATTGGGCTTTTTTTTTTTTTAAATTGGTGTCTCTGGCTGGTTAAAATGGTAAAACCTAAAGTATTACTTTATTGCTCTCTATGAGGAGTCTGCTGTATATTTGTAGAGCCCCAATGCATTCCTAGGGACTCTCTGTGGGCATAAATCATAGGCTCTAGTTCACCTAGTGTTAGGTGACTACACTGCAAACATAAACATCTAAGGCAATGTAGGGTCTCTTCATAGCGCCTTCTAGGGAGCACTTCTTATATCTATGTAAGCAGTCAACATGGACTTCACTGAATATATTTCTACAGACAATGAAGAGGCCCCACAGTGACTAATTCAAGTGTAGCTACCCAGAGTGTACAAAGGCTTGTCCTTGGGATGCCCCCAAAAGATCCTGGTTTTCCACAGGAATCCAGTGTTTGCTAAATAGGACTCTAAGTAGTCCAGTGTTTCTTGAACAATGTTTCTAAAATTGTTTTTAAATACAATTCTAAAAATATTTTTTCAAAATTAACATAATTTCACATGAAATCAGTTCTGAAGAACTGCCCTTCAATTCCCTGCTACAATGGCAGAATTATACTCTCCAGTTTGGCTCATTTTTGGACCGCTCTAAAAACTATGCCTATAGACAAGCACTGCAGACTACTCCTACGCTTCTTTAATTTGGCTTCTGTCATAGCGAAAGGAACATCAGCCCGTCTCCAGGCAATTTTCTGGGAATAGAGTGATAAACAGTTTCTCAGCAGCAATTACAACAGCCCATGGCACCAAAACCACTGCAAATATTTTGGGGACCCTCCTTCATTCATTCAACCTGACCTGCTCTGCAAAATTAAGGAAAAAGGATGCTCCAATAAATGACTTCACAATTTGGCAGCCTCATGACCCCATCAACAGTATTCTGGAAGAAAAGGAATTTTATTTCCCGAGCTTGTGCACATCAGGAGCTGCAAATATAGTGTAAAGCTTAGAAATGATGCACAGCAGTTCCACAATACGTTCTATTTGTTATCATCTTGTTGGCATTTGCAGACCCCATTTCTACCGAGTACATTTCTACTGAGTGTACAAATAGAAGCCTGAATGGTCTCTAAATCAAAAATTCTTAACATCCACCATGTAAATATTGTAAATTTGCAGGAGATAAATGTCATTTGCAAAAGAAGTTGCAATGGCAATAAATCTGTGCTGTTTAAACACCGAGTAGAAGATTTCTTGTTCACTTTCACAGAAAAAATTGATAGGCAGAGATACCCTTTTAATAGTAATAGTGATGTTCAACATCACATTACTGCAGAGCAGAGACAGGGGTCTCACCAGGTATCCTAAAGCCATGCACACAACACCCGGTAAGAGTGGACACAGGGACAACTTTACACCACTCTCATCTTCTTATCCTGGGAACTACCAAGTAGCTTAACAAATCCTGACGTTTTAAAGTAACCAATGGCCTCCTGTAATTTGTATTTATTAATAGCCTTCAAAAGGAAAGCACTTAAACCAGGACTTCTGATGTAAACTGTGTCCTGGCCCTTCACAGTGCCCAGTAGAAATGACTTCTTCCCTCCTATTCAGTTTTCTCATTGTGCTAGAAAATCTTAAAATGGAGCTGTAAGGTCCTTTTCGGCTGCTGAGCAGCCAAACTGTGCTATGAGATCTGCTCCAAAGACAGGTTTGCCTAAGGAGCAGAAATAACTCTGAGACAAGAAGCGTGCGAGATTGACACATGCCAACTCATGCATTTGCTGTTAAACAGATGACTAAACTGACCCAACTGTATACTATACTGTAAGTAACATGGTGTTGTGGTTTAACCCCAGCCAGCAACTAAGCACCATGCAGCTGCTCACTCACTCCCCCCCAACCCAGTGGGAATGGGGGAGGGAATCATGGGAAAAAAGTAAAACCTGTGGGTTGAGGTAAGAATGGTTTAGTAGAACAGAAAGGAAGAAACTAATAATGGTAATAACAACAAAAATAAAATGACAATAATAATAAAAGGATTGAAATATACAAAACAAGTGATGCACAATGCAGTTGCTCACCACTTGCCGACCACTGCCCAGTTAGTTCCCCACCAGCAATCTGCTGCCCCCAGCCAACTCTCCTCCAGTTTATACACTGGGCATGATGTCACATGTTATGGAATACCCCTTTGGCCAGTTTGGGTCAGCTGTCCTGGCTGTGTCCCCTCCCAACTTCTTGTGCCCCTCCAGCCTTCTTGCAGGCTGGGCATGAGAAGCTGAAAAATCCTTGACTTACTATAAACACTGCTTAGCAACAACTGAAAACATCAGTGTGCTATCAAGATTATTCTCATACTAAATCCAAAACATAACACTATACGAGCTGCTAGAAAGAAAATTAACTCTATCCCAGCGAAAACCAGGGTCTTTATACTCCAGACTTAAGATTAGTTCCCTCTGGTTGGACATTAAACTTCTTCCCATCACCTCCTTGCTTCATTCAAAAACTCTCTTGTGCTGACTCTCTCACTGCTGACATTTGGGCTAGGCCTTTGTCCTGGTTTTGGCTGGGATAGAGTTGCTTTTATTCCCAGCAGCTTGTAGGGTGCTGGTTTGGATTTGTGATGAAAACAGTGTTAATAATACAGGGATATTTTCGTTACTGCTGAGCAGTGCTCACCCAGAGCCAAGGCCTTTTCTGCTCCTCACCCCACCCCACCAGCGAGGAGGCTGGGGGGGCACAAGGAGTTGGGAGGGGACACAGCCGGGACAGCTGACCCCACTGATCAAAGGGATATCGCAGACCATATGGTGTCATGCTCAGTATATAAAGCTGGGGGAAGAAGAAGGAAGGGGGGACGTTCAGGAGTGATGTCTTCCCAAGTCCCCGTTAGGTGTGATGGAGCCCTGCTGTCCTGGAGATGGCTGAACACCTGCCTGCCATGGGAAGTGGTGAATGAATTCCTTGTTTTTCTTTGCTTGTGTGTGCAGCTTTTGCTTTATCTAGTGAACTGTCTTTATCTGAACCCAGGATTTTTCTCACTTTTACCCTTCCGATTCCCTCCCCCATCCCACTGTGGGGGAGTGAGTAAGCGTCTGTGTGGGGCTCAGCTGCCTGTCAGGGTTAACCCACAACAGCCTTGAACCCTTTTCTGGCAGATCTTTTAAAGAACTCTACACACTTGACACACAGGAATTATAAGGAAGCTCACAGTACTAGAAACATTGTTATTTTGATGCAGGGATCCTTAAAAATATTTGAATTAATAAAATACATTTAGCTTACAATAAAGATATTAAAAATTTTGATTATACAATTCTGTTGCTAGTGACTACTTATCCCGTATTTACATGAGAGAGCAAAGAGTCCGGCAACTACAAGAAGCAATTGCAACTTGCACATTTCCTTGCAACAGTAGAAAGTAGGTATTCTTGAACATGTTTGACATTTTTGAGAACTCATCACTCAAGTCCTTGGCTTCTACCTGACACTGAAGATAACATTAGTTTTAGATTGGATATTAGGAATAATTTCTTTACTGAAAGGGTTGTCAGGCACTGGAACAGGCTGCCCACGGAAGTGGT